GAGGAACAGGTGATAATAAGTACTTATTATTAACAACTGGCCCTAAGGGAAGCAGTGAGTTTTGTTTCCCCAACACCCTCAATGTTCTCCAAGGCGAAGCCGAGGGGAACATTGAGGTCGAAGCCGGAAACCAAAGTCACTGTGTCCTGCGGAACCAATCATTTAGTGTGTTGTTATACCTCCCAACTCAAAAATAGAAAAAAACTGCGGAAAATCGTTTGCTTGACACCGGCTGGCTCACAAATTTGCCGCAGTTTCAAGGAGCATGACCTGATCACGTGCGAGTCAAAAGTTCAAGTTGTTGTTTCCCAAGGGAGTTAGTGAGTTTTGTTCGCCCTAGAGATTTAGTGAGTTCTCCTTCAAATCGGAAAACGCATCTGAGTTGGAAGGTATAACAATAAAAAATGTCACACCTTCTCTTATGTGGAAATAAATATTTCGTTATTCGTTAGAGCTGCAGTGGTTTAAAGCAATAATGTTTCATGAAAAACAAGCCAGGTTCCTCATGTTGTGTTCTTCCACTAAATATTTTACATTCGCAGTACCTCTTCCCCTCTTAAGAACCCCTAGAGGTATATAAGAATGACCGGGCATTATTCAACAATTTGGCAAAACGTTGAAGAGGGCTACCTAAGATGGACAACATCCACCTATAAGCAATCATGCCCTACACGTTTTGAAACCACCATACTTAATCGTTTTCCTCCGCCCATGAGAAATAGGCCTACTGTGCGCTTTCAATGTCTATGATATTTAGCAACTATATTACTCACTTTCTGTAGATAATTTCCAAGTTGCACTCGAGGATCTAAACCACTTAAAGGAAATAACAGGTACATCAAAGTTAAAATCAATACAAACATTTTCAAGATACACTTGTCTTCGAAGATTGAAGACAATTCAGCCACTATTATGATCAATCATTTTTACTAGAAATACAAATCTTAAGAACAGATTGAAGATATAATTATTAAGAGTAAGAGTAACGATACATCTTGAACACAAACTACTAACACACACTTTCATAATTGCGTCATCAGATAAAAATTCCAGTGTTTTACAAGAACTTGGTTTTGACCATGACACGTTGAGAGGTAAGAAAATATGGCAATAAAAAGTACTGCATAAAAGTGTTTTTACGTATTTGCACTTTTGGAGCTAAGTTTATTGCAGAATTTATAATTATTTCTATTTATTCTCATTCGCAATGACCGGAATTTTCTCCCTAACAAATTTAATTATACTATAGTTCACATAGATAAAACTAAACAATTTGAGCCTGTTCCATTATTTATGTCTATGGTATTAACCCATTTCTATTGCTTTACAATTGAGTGTCGAAAGTTCATTCCAGAATTGCTTTGATTTTGCTTTGCTATGTTCTTCAACTGGTTTGAAAAACATTCGCAACAAGCACATCTAATCAGAAACAAGACCATAGCCAATCACAGCCTGGTCATGTGCGTTTTCCCGCGCTTGTCACCGTTTTCTGGTATTTCCCTTCGCATTCTCATTGCTTTATTGTGTTAAAATGTTGTTAACGTTGATTGTGACCACTTTAGTTTGGTTTAGCCACAACACTTACATAAGCTCAAAAAATTGCTTCTCAATTCATGCTTTCATTCTCTCAGCAAGAGCACAACTCCTCAAAGGAGAAGTCGAGCGCGATAAAAATGACTTTAGGAAAGCGTTGAGTTGCTACACTGAAGGGATTGAACTGAAATGCAAAGGTGAAAAACTGAACGTCGTGCTTTACTACAGGAGGGCCCACTCGCATAGTCGTCTGGGTGAGGTTACATGATTGTTTGTTTTCTGTTTTATTTTAGTGAGTTAAAATATCTAAGTTCAAAATGTAAAAAATATCTATATAATGTCCATTTTAATTGCTATACATTTCTTTAATTTCTATTCTGTGAATTTAGTAATATATCATTTGATAATTTCGTTGTTCCCATCACCTGTCTGCTTGATTAACAGATTAAGTGTCATTATCATTCGATGCATTTTTTCTTCCTTTCCATTGGCCGAGAGCCCACCACGTGACGTGCAAATAACTGCCCACAAATAATGGTCTGCTTGTGCGTAGTACCGTCTAAACGTGTTTTGCTGCAAATAATATTCTGCCCATGCGTGATTGAAACAACGTTCTCGGGTGAAAAATGGCAGATCGTTTTCCTGAGCTGTCAGGGAGTGATTAACATATGAAAACAAACTTGGTGATCGAATCATAAAACAATTATTGAACTCAGTTGTCGCAAAATATAGTGACTTATCAGTGTCCGCAAGACACTGACAAATCACGATACTTTTCTTAACCTCGTCCAATAATTGTTAAATATTATATTATAATGAGAAACAACAATCTCACGTCTTCCTTTCATGAAAATGATACTGTTCGTTATTGATGCGAGGTTCAATGGACTTATTTTATATAGTGTATCAGATGCGAGATGGAGAGCTTTCATGGAGAGCAAATGAGGATCCCCATGTTGCATTCTTCAACGAGATATTTTACTGTCGCAGTGCCCTTCCCCTCCTAATGTCTATGATATTTAGCAAATATATTACTCAATTTCTAAAGGGAATTTCCAAGATGCACTCGAGGATCTATACCACTTAGAGGAAATAATAGGTACATCAAAGTTCTTTCTGATTGTTCTTTTGTGTTTATATATCCTTGTTCGAATGAGATTAAATTTCGATGAACATTTCAAAATAAAAATGAGCGATAGAAATTTTACACAACGCTTCGATGTCGTCATGACATCATTATCAAGTGACAAGAAAATAACGGTTCAACAGTGTTATATATGCGGTGAGAGGTGTGATTGTTTATCCGATTGCGTGTTAAGGCTAGGTTTCTTCTTTCTAATAAACAGCATTTCGTAAATCACACAATCCAGTTTTCCGTTGCATTTCTTTAGGACGGAAAAATTATTGGCAAAGTCGTCGATGTTATAAAGGTCGTGATCGTTCTTTAAATGCTCTCCGATTGCGGAGAACCTGTGTTCATCAATACAGGTCGCGATCACGGCCTTTATAACATCGACGACCTTGCCAATAACTTTTCCGTCCTAAAGGAATGCAACGGAAAACTGGATTGTTTGATTTACGAAATGCTGTTTATTAGATGGAAGAAACCTAGCCTGAACACGCAATCGGATTCCATCCGCGCGAAACTATTTGTTTAAACAAATCTGTTAATGAACAATCACACCTCTCACCGCATATATAACACTGTTGAACCGTTATTTCCTTGTCACTTGATAATGATGTCATGACGTCATTGACACGTTGTGTAAAATTTCTATCGCTCATTTTTATTTTGAAATGTATATCCTTGTTCGTTTCCAATATTTGGGTTTTCTTTGTGTACACACAATGTACATACCAAAGAAGCGGGCCGCTTTGTGACTCAAAAATCAATGCAGTCGTTTTCAAGATACACTTGTCTTCGAAGATTGAAAACAATTCAGCCACTATTATGATCAATCATTTTTACTAGAAATACAAATCTTAAGAACAGATTGTAAATATAATTATTAAGAGTAAGAGTTATGATACATCTTGAACACAAACGACTAACACACACTTTTATAATTGCGTCATTAGATAAAAATCCCAGAGTTTTACAAGAACTTGGTTTTGACCGTGACAGGTTGAGAGGTGAGAAAATATGGCAAAAAAAAGTACTGCATAACACCTTTTTTTTACGTATTTGCAATTTTGGACCTAAGGTTATTGGAGAATTTATAATTGTTTCTATTTATTCACATTCGCAACGACCGGAATTTTTTGGCTAACAAATTTATTTATACTATAGTTCACTTAGGTAAAACTAAACAATTTGAGCCTGTTCCATTATTTACGTCTATGGTATTAAACCATTTCTATTGCTTAACAATTGAGTGTCGAAAGTTGCATCCCGAATTGCTTTGATTTTGCTTTGCTATGTTCTTCAATTGGTTTGAAAAACATTGGCCACATGTTCATCTTATCAGAAACAAGACCATAGCCAATCACAGCCTGGTCATGTGCGTTTTCCCGCGCTTGTCAGCGTTTTCTGGTATTTCGCATCGCCTTCTTATAGCTTCATTATGTTAAAACGTTGTTAACGTTTATTGTGACCACTTTAGTTTGGTTTAACGACAGTCCACAAGTAAATAAGCTCAAAAAATGACTTTTCAATTCGCGTTTTGATTTCCTCAGCAAGAGCACAACTCCTCAAAGGAGAAGTCGAGCATGATAAAAATGACTTTAGGAAAGCGTTAAGTTGCTACACTGAAGGGATTGAATTAAAGTGCAAAGATGACTTTCTGAACGCCGAGCTTTACTTAAGAAGGGCGCACTCGTATCAACATCATCTGGGTGAGTTTACATGATTGTTTGTTTTCTGGTTTATTTTAGTGAGTTAAGATATCTCAGTTCAAAATGTAGAAAATATCTATATATTGTCCATTTTAATTGATATACATTTCTTTATCTCTATTGCTGTTAATTTGGTAATACATCATTTAATAATTTCGTTGTTCCCATCGCCTGTCTGCTTGATTATATATAAATACTGTAATGAGAAATTACATTTTCATCACACCTTTTAACTAAAGAGGCGGTAATAAAAAATTTCACACCTCGCCTTTTATGGAAATAAATTGTTCGTTATTAATAAGAGCTGCAGTGGCTTTAAGGAATAATTTTTCATAAAAAGCAAGCTAGGGTCCTCATGTTGTGTTCTTCCACTAAATATTTTACATTCCCAGTACCCCTTCCCCTCTTGAGAACCCCTAGAGGTATATACGGATGACCGAGTATTATTCAACAATTTGGCAAAGCGTTGAAGAGGGGTACCCTAAGATGGACAACGTCCACCTATAAGCAATCATGCCCTACACGTTTTGAAGCCACCATACTTAATCGTTTTCTTCCGCCCATGAGAAATAGGCCTACTGTGCGATTTCAATGTCTATGATATTTAGCGACTACATTACTCGCTTTCTAAAGGGAATTTCCAAGATGCACTCGAGGATCTATACCACTTAGAGGAAATAACAGGTACATCAAAGTTCTTTCTGATTGTTCTTTTGTGTTTATATATACTTGTTCGTTTCCAAATTTTTGGGTTTTCTTTATATACATGGAATGTACACACCAAAGAAGCGGGTCGCTCTATACATAAAAAGCAAGGCAGTCGTTTTCAAGATACACTTGTCTTCGAAGATTGAAAACAATTCAGCCACTATTATGACCAATCATTTTTGCTAAAAATACAAATCTTAAGAACAGATTGTAGATATGTTAAGAGTAAGAGTCATGATACATCTTGAACACAAACGACTAACACACACTTTTGTAATTGCGTCATCAGATAAAAATCCCAGTGTTTTACAAAAACTTGGTTTTGACCATGACACGTTGAGAGGTGAGAAAATATGGCAATTAAAAGTATTGCGTGAAACTATTTTTAAGTATTTGCAATTTCGGAGCTAAGTTTATTGCAGAATTTATGATTATTTCTATTTATTCTCATTCGCAATGACCGGAATTTTCTCCCTAACAAATTTAATTATACTATAGTTCACATAGATAAACCTAAACAATTTGAGCCTGTTCCATTATTTACGTCTATGGTATTAACCCATTTCTATTGCTTTACAATTGAGTGTCGAAAGCTCATTCCAGAATATCTTTGATTTTGCTTTGCTATGTTCTTCAATTGGTTTGCAAAACATTCGCCACAAGCTCATCTAAACACAAACAAAACCATAGCCAATCACAGGCTGGTCATGTGCGTTTTCCCGCGCTTGTCACCGTTTTCTGGTATTTCGCATAGCGTTCTCATTGCTTTATTAGGGAGTTTACGAAACCACAACGGCGACGCTGAGGACAATGTGGATTAAAAAATGATTTTATATTTTACCTAAGAATCTCGCGGTACTCTGAATTCATTTAATTTGTTTATCACTGTCAAAACTATCGCAAAACTAAATCTGGAACACAGCGATACATTTGAGATAAAGATTTAAAAAATTAGCCGTCGTGGTTCGCGTTCTCGAGACAACGCGAAATTTGGTCATTTCATGTTGTTGTCTTGCAGAGGACGGCAAAGAAATGTACCAAGAATTATAACGCACGTGCACAGCCATTGTGCTGCTCGTTAATTCTTTTGTTCAGTGACGTTCCGATTGCCGTTGCCGTCGTGGTTTCGTAAACTCCCTATTATGTTAAAACAATGTTAGCGTTTATTGTGACCACTTTAGTTTGGTTTAACGACAGTCCACAAGTAAATAAAGTCAAAAAAATTACTTTTCATTTCGTGTTTTGATTCTCTCAGCAAGAGCACAACTCCTCAAAGGAGAAGTCGAGCATGATAATAATCACTTAAGAAAAGTGTTAAGTTGCTACACTAAAGGGATTGAATTAAAGTGCAAAGATGACAAACTGAATGCCGAGCTTTACTCCAGAAGGGCGCACTCGCATGATCATCATCTGGGTGAGTTTACATGATTGTTTGTTTTGTTTTACATTAGTGAGTTTAAACATCTAAGTTCAAAATGTAAAAAATATCTGTATATTGTCCATTTTAATTGCTATACATTTCTTTAATTTCTGTTTCTGTTAATTTGGTAATATATCATTTAATAATTTCGTCGTTCCCATCACCTGCCTGCTTGATTATATATAAATACTATAATGAGAAACTAGGTTTTCATCACACCTTTTGACTGAAGAGGCGATAATAAAATATTTCACACCTCCCCTTTTCTGGAAATAAATTGTTCGTTAATAATAAGAGCTGCAGTGGCTTTAAGGAATAATGTTTAACGAAAAGCAAGCTAGGGTCCTCATGTTGTGTTCTTCCACTAAATATTTTACATTTGCAGTACCTCTTCCCCTCTTAAGAACCCTAGAGGTAAATAAGGATGACCAGGCATTATTCAACAATTTGGCAAAACGTTAAAGAATAGTACTCTAAGATGGACAACGTCCACCTATAAGCAATCATGCACTACCCGTTTTGAAGCCACCATACTTAATCGTTTTCCTCCGCCCATGAGAAATAGGTCTTCTGTGCGCTTTCAATGTTTATGATATTTAGCGACTACATTACTCACTTTCTAAAGGGAATTCCCAAGATGCACTCGAGGATCTATACCACTTGAAGGAAATAACAGGTACATCAAAGTTCTTTCTGATTGTTCTTTTGTGTTTATATATCCTTGTTCGTTTCCAAATTTTTGGGTTTTCTTTATATACATGGAATGTACATACCAAAGAAGCGGGCCGCTTTGGGACTCAAAAATCAATGCAGTCGTTTTCAAGATACACCTGTCTTCGAAGATTGAAAACGATTCAGCCACTATTATGATTAATCATTTTTACTACAAATACAAATCTTAAGAACAGATTGAAGATATAATAATTAAGAGTAAGAATCATGATACATCTTGAACACAAACGACTAACACACACTTTTATAATTGCGTCATTAGATAAAAACCCCAGAGTTTTACGAGAACTTGGTTTGGACCATGACACGTTGAGAGGTGAGAAAATATAGCAATAAAAAATACTGCATGAAACTATCTTTAAGTATTTGCAATTTTGGAGCTAAGTTTATTGCAGAATTTATAATTATTTCTATTTATTCTCATTCGCAATGACCGGAATTTTCTCGCTAACAAATTTATTTATGTTATAGTTCACTTAAGTAAAAACTAAACATTTGGGCCTGTTCCGATTATTTACGTCTATGGCATTAAATCATTTCTTCCTTTGCAATTGAGTGTGGAAAGTTGAATCCAGAATTGCTTTGATTTTGCTTTGCTATGTTCTTCAACTGGTTTGAAAAACATTCGCCACAAGCTCATCTAATCACAAACAAAACCATAGCCAATCACAGCCTGGTCATGTGCGTTTNTTGCTTTGATTTTGCTTTGCTATGTTCTTCAACTGGTTTGAAAAACATTCGCCACAAGCTCATCTAATCACAAACAAAACCATAGCCAATCACAGCCTGGTCATGTGCGTTTTCCCGCGCTTGTCACCGTTTTCTGGTACTTCGCATCGCCGCCTTATTGTTTTATTGTGTTAAAACATTGTTAACATTTATTGTGACCACTTTAGTTTGGTTTAACGACAGTCCACAAGTAAATAAGCTCAAAAAATGACTTTTCAATTCGCGTTTTGATTTCCTCAGCAAGAGCACAACTCCTCAAAGGAGAAGTCGAGCATGATAAAAATGACTTTAGCAAAGCGTTAAGTTGCTACACTGAAGGGATTGAATTAAAGTGCAAAGATGACAAACTGAACACCAAGCTTTACCTTAGGAGGGCGCACTCGCATGGTCATCAGGGTGAGCTTACATGATTGTTTGTTTTCTGTTTTAGTTTAATGAGTTAAAATATGTAAGTTCAAAATGTAAAAAATATCTGTATATTGTGCATTTTAATTGTTATACATTTCTTTAATTTCTTTTTCTGTTAATTTGGTAATACATTATTTGATAATTTCGGTGTTCCCATCACCTGTGTGCTTGATTAAATATCATCATTCGATGCATTTTACTTCCTTTCCATTGGCTGAGAGCCCACCAGGTGACCTGCAAATAACTGCCTACAAGTAATGGTCTTCTTGTGCGTAGTACTGTCTAAACGTGTTTTGCTGCAAATAATATTCTGCCCATGCGTAATTGAAACCACGTTCTAGAGTGAAAAATGGCAGATCGCTTCTCTGAGCTGTCAGGGAGGATTAAAATATGAAAACAAACCTGGTGATGGAATGATAAAACAATAATTTATTGAACTCAGTTTATCGCAATTGATCTGCAAGACACATATCACGATATTTTTCTCAAAATCGTCCAACAATTGTTAAATATTGTAATGAGAAACATCAATCTCACGTCTTTCTTTCATGAAAATAATATTGTTCGTTATTGATGAGAGGTGCAGTGGACTTATGTTATATAGTGTATCAGATGCCGCTAGATGGAGAGCTTTCATGGGGCCAAATANTCATGAAAATAATATTGTTCGTTATTGATGAGAGGTGCAGTGGACTTATGTTATATAGTGTATCAGATGCCGCTAGATGGAGAGCTTTCATGGGGCCAAATAAGGATCCCCATGTTGTATTCTTTAACGAGATATTTTGCTCTCTCAGTGCCCCTCCCCTCCTAAGAATCCATTGGGTATTAAAAGGGTAACAAATTATTCAGGCAATTTAGCAAAAAGCTGAAGCAGTTGGCTTTTGCTGGACAACCTTCCAATTCGTAAGGCACCCATAAACCATCATGCTTCATACTTTTGTAAGTCGCCATACAAGTGATACTTCCTCTTCCAACAGTGGTCTCCCCCAAGTTTCTGTCTTAGAGCTCTTGTCGTTCAATATTTTCATCAATGACTTACTTTACTTCATGCAAGAGGCTCAGCTGGCAAATTACGCTTACGATAATAAACTCTGATTCAGCTGTTGTTGGAAATGCTCTCAACAAGGAATATGCGACGGCGTGTGATAGGTTGCGAAATAATAGGATGATACTGTACCCTGAAAAATGCAAGGCTCTGATTCTGTCTCGGTTCTGTCGCGTAAGCCCAATATCAAGCTGTCCTTGTTTACTGAAGGACCAAAAATATACCGCAAGGAAGTTATTCACATCAATTCACAAGATTCAAGTGCATAAACGTAATATTATTCGCTTTGGATTAAAATCAGTAACATACTCGGTCGTTACTTGGAACAACGTTTCTGACACCATAAGATACAATTTTATCCTCTGACAAAACTGTCCGCAACCTTAGGTTTTAGTTTATAAGTTTTATATATATATAAGCGAGGGAAATGTAGAAAATACAAGCCGGGGGCGAGTGTTTTCCACATTTCTCGAGTGTTCTCAAATAACCGGAGTGTTTTACCACAGTGTAATACACGGCTTAGGCTTCTTCATTTGCTTTATGATATAGACTATCCACGCGCAAAACAATAAAACACGCTTTTTCTCTGTTTTATACTCTGATAAAACATGGGTTTTTGACCAGTCAGAGCGCGCGCAGGGTCCTATCTATGTTATAAATATATTTATAATAAAGTTCCATATAACGCGCGCTCTGATTGGCTGAAACAGCGTGCTTTATCAGAGAACAGAGCACGGGTTGATGGTGTCACGCCATCGACCCATCTGTAAAAATGGCCGACCTATTCCCGGACTTCTCCCTCGGGGTTATTTTAGACCCGAACGTCTTGTATGACCTGGAAAACGAATATGAAAACGAACCCTTAGCTTCAATTGACATGGAAAATGCTGTTCGTAACAACACAAATAACTCGGTGATAGAAAGTGAAATT